TATTAAGAATAAATAAATATAATTATCAAAAATCAGGGATACTATAAAGCATTACATATAAAAAGGATAATGATTATTCTAAAAAAAATCACTTCCAGAAAATTTAAAGACAAGAAAGAGTAGAAAATGTTAATAATTTGCTTAATTCAAAAAAAGAGTTCAACAATCTCTTTTCTATTCATATAACTTATCTTTGATCCAATTGATGAAATTTTTCGCATTGGTAGGAACTCTGGGTATTGCTGAACTAATAACATTTTCGAATTTCTATTCATCATCTTCAACATAAAATTGATTAGTCATGATATGTTGGAATTTTGAATTGTCATTTAGATAAAAACCGTATAATTACTATTAATAAAAATTGTAATGTAAGTAAATAGTTTTTAAATAGTCAAAATAAAAATAACAATAATAATACTTACATTTACGTTACGAATACATAAAGCATTATTGATATCTTCCCTCATAAGTCTGGTTCATTTTGAATGACGCATCAATTTATTCACTTCTTGTTTAAAGCATATTTCCGTAATAGTTTAAGTTTATAATTTTTTGCATAACACTTGGTGATTTAAAAAATGCAAACCACCTGTATTATCTCGTAAACTCAATATTCTACATCATGTGCTAACGCGGCAGCTACCGTGCCTTTAAAGTTTGTAACTCCAACATCTCTTACAAAAATTATAACCTATTTTTTCCTGACAAATCTTACATTTTTCAAACAAGTTTACTATTTGTTGTTAATGGTTTGGGCATAGTCCTAGTTGATTCGATTCCAACGAACAACCTAAAAAAAGAAGGCATTAGTATAATTTCCTAATGCTATCAAAACCTTTAACACTACTTATTAACCGTTAAGTCCAAGAAGAATCATCCAAGAACGTCCAAGAGTGTCCAAAGGATCTAAATAAAAGAAGACGTTAGAGTTGTTTATTAACGTCATTAACATCACCTACTCATTCAAAGAAACTTACTGGTTCAATATTTGCCTAATAAAAATTGTTCACAGAACATCCAAAAACCATCCAGAGCTGTCCAAAAAGCTTCCATAAAAATAAAGAAATAAGGACCGTTAGTAATGTTCCTAAAACTATTATTAAAAAAAGTTTTTTTAAAAAATATTGTTTATCTCAAAACAGCACTTTAATGAACAAAGGTAAGTTCATTTTTTTTTTTTTGAATGATTATTGCCAAAGCTTATTGGAACTTATTCCCTTTTTTTCTCTGTAAGACTGACAGATCGATAGATTCAAGATCTACTGGAATCTATAAAAGGTAAAAAATGTTTATTTATTTAATTAAAAAATTCATTAATGTCATCTT